GGAGAGAACCAAAATGAATTTGTTCTGCATGCTACCTGAAATTTCTTTTAATCTTGTTTTCTTTTCTTTTGAGCCATTGCTTCTATGGTACTTTTGATGCAGGTTGGTTTTTATTGATCTTCATTGCCAGTTTCATTTGACTCCAACAATTTGGAAACTATTAATTATAATAAGCCATGCTAATTCTTTGGTCCTGACTGATTGTTGTTTCTAGTTAATTGGTTGAAACTTTTGAAAGTAATATCGTTTGATGATGTTTCTTTTCCTTTTCTGTGTTGTTATTGCCAAAAGAGCTAAATTGGGATAGAATAAGGAAATGTCTACGGTTATGGTCATTCGAATCTAGTTACTAGTTGTGAGACAAATTTGTTATGGTCATTCGAATCTAGTTACAAGTTGTGAGACAAATTTGATGATCTCTTAATGCCTTTCACCTAGGTACAACATGAGCTTATGTTACAGTTACTTGATAATCTTCACTTCTTCAGTGTATCTCTTTTGCGGCCTTAGTTGAAGATGTCCTGCATTAGGTGCTGTGGTAAAGTTTTAATTGGGTGCGCTTGGAGTTGCTTGTAGATGCACCACAACTGTGGCTTCTTTGCTCTCTGATAGATTTTGAATTATCGACAATATTGTTACACCAACAATCCCTATAAATATGAGGGCTTGGTTGGTTGGGGTTAATCCAATAAATTTGCTGATTTCTTTTTCTCATTAATTTGGTTTTTTTGATCAGAGTAGTTTTTGCTAATCCTATAAAACATCAACTTTTACAGCTAATAACTAAGACTACTTCTGTGACTGGTTAATTAAATCAATCTAATAACCAGTCAGTCAGATGACCAAAAACAATTTGGTTGATCAAACAAAACAGATCCTATTAATTTGCATCAACCGCCGAAAGTCGGTTATATGAATGAATTCTTCAGGAGGTTGCATATAGAACACTTCTATGTAAGAATTTTTGCATGTTTCCTCATTACTCAGTGGGTAGTATCCTTTTCCTTGATGCAGGAGATGAAACTGCAGTGTGATGAGAAAAGGTATCCCTCTTCACATGTCTTTTGGCATGGTACAGATATCTATTTTTCTTTAAAAAATTATGTCTTGCTAACATCAGGCATGATCTACAGGGAGGTGTACGAGTATATGGCAAAAAGGGGAAAGGGTGGAAAAGGGGAGAACTTTACTTCTCAGCAGTTACAGGCGGCTCGGGAAGACTATGAGGAAATGGCAAGACTTTGCATTTTCCGTGTACAATCTCTGAAGCAAGGGCAATGTCGCAGCCTTTTGACCCAAGCAGTTCGTCACCATGGAGCACAGGTGTCCTTTTGCAATTCTTTTTAGCTCCATTTGTCCCATTATAGGTTATCCATCTTTGTCTTGGATCGGGTAATGACTTGTTTGCCTAATTTCTCTTTTTCTGGAGCAGTTGAATTTCTTCCGCAAAGGACTGAAATCTCTTGAAGCTGTTGAACCACAAATCAGGGTGGTTGCTGAAAAGCAACACATTGACTACCAACTTGTTGAATTGGATGATAGTGAGGATGGAGGGAAGAGCTATGAGGCTAATGATGGTGGTGAATTGAGTTTTGATTATAGACAAAATAAGCAGGAACTAAATGATCCTTTCCCATTGAGGGATTCAATGGAGGTAAATTACCATATTGTTGTCATGCCTCTATTTTCCTTTGTGGAAGATTATGAACTGCCTTTTTTCGGGTTTATCCTGGAGATCTTGACTGTTGCAGCTTTTGGCAGCATGTCAATTTTTAGATCCTGTTGCCTGCCCTTTGCTTGTAACTAACACAATAAAACTGGCTGACATAAATATGTTCTAGTTCACGATGCTATTCCCATTTTTTTGTCGTATTGTGTAAAGTGATAGGGTGCTTGCTTTAAGCAGGAAAAAATGTCTTTTGCTTTTCCTAATGTTCTCTATGCATTTCTACACAAACTGAGGCTTATCCCACTATTGCTAAGGCTAGTTAAGCCTTTTTCTTACTGCCTCTGTCCTTCAGTGGCATTTCATCCCTTGACTAATTTCTTGTACTCATCCAATGCACATCTGAATTCATCCGCCTGTAAATTTGTGCGTACAAAAAGGGAGAGCCGAGAATGGTGGTTATTATCTGTCTTGGTAGTGATATAGGCATTATTGAATTTTGGTTTGAGATGATGAACTTGTTTAATTTGCCAATTGTTGGACTAATATGCCTGACTTTGGCAGTTTGATCCGGCGGATGCTCCAAGTGCCCTACTAACCTCTGGGATGGAGGAAGGGGAGGTAACATTCTGTCCTTGTTACTGTTACTGGTACTCAGTATACATATATTCAGCTGTGGGTTCTGTAATTTCTTTCGAAAGAGGTTTATTACTGTTTTGAGCTACTTCACACATTGCCTTAGATTATCAACTTGTGCGACTTAGCTTATTATTATTATTATTATTATTATTATTTTTTTTTTTTTTTTTTGGTAGTTCCACTTAGCTTATTTAATTTGGAATACTCATCTTGCAGTTGGATTTTGTCAAAAACCAAGAGCAGACTTTTACCAGACAACCTCGTGCAGGCAGTCATTCTGCTCCAATATTTGCGGAGAAATTGGATATTTCTGATAGAATCAAACAAGCACAGACATCTGTCCGCAAATTTCACACATACGTTTTACCAACTCCAGCTGATGCGAAAAGTTTGAGTACAAGGACGAGTGTTTCCCTTCACTCTAGTGCTACAAATCCTAGTGGAGGAACCAACAATCCCTGGCATTCTTCCCCGCTTAATATGGATAATAATTCTAAATTTACAGAAGGAAACTTGTCAGTGGACATTCTTGCAAAAGCCCAACCCACTGCTAATAATCTCTCCGCCCCACTACCCCCGCCTCTTGCTGAGGGAACTTCTTTCCCACAATATGATGTACAAAATGGACTTGATGCTAGAAAAATAAGACGACTTGCTTTCTCAGGTCCATTAGCAAGTAAACCTTCATCGAGCAAGCCTTTGTTATCTGCCAGCGGACCTATTGGCTTGGCTGCTGAACGGCCTCTTCTAGAACCTGGATTGGTCTCTGGAGTACCAATAACTCAGCCACCATCAACTCTAGATGTATCCTACAGTGCTTCACCTCCCCTTGTTTCTTCACCAAAAATTAGTGAGCTTCATGAGCTACCGCGGCCTCCTGGCTTATTGGCCTCCAAGCCATCAAGTTCAACTGCAGTTGGGCACTCTGCGCCTCTAGTCAACAGAAATCGAGAAATGTCTCCAACAAATCAGAGTCCTGTGCTGGCATCAAATACGGGTTCTCCACTACCACTTCCTCCATTAACCATTCCTCGAAGTTTCTCTATACCGTCCAACAATCAGAGAGCAATGGCGCTACATGTAGCTCAGCTACTAGAGTCTCCTCAAAGAAAGGGCAAGGGTGATGTAATGTGCTCTCCTCCATTAACACCTATATCGCTTTCAAACGCTTCAAATTCTGGGCAAATCAGAGGTAAAATATCTTGATTATAATTACTTGGCAACTATATTGTTTCCAGATGGATTATTTCTTTTTCCGAGCAAATGATAAATTCTACAGTGAACCTCTTCTCTTGTCTGTGAACCTGATTATGAAGATCTGCCTCTGAGTCCCTTTGGAATGGGAAAAGCAAGGGTTACAAGTAAAAAGGAAAAAACTTGTTTTTGATCTTGTCTAATCTTCCACCCCCACCTGGTCAATTCTTCTCTAAAAGACTATGTCAGCTTGGTGTTTTTTTTTTGGGAGGGGGGTGTTAAATGGTCGATAAGTAGTTAAGTATTTCTGTAGCTAAAAGAGGCTCTGGATATATCATGGAGGCAGATAGGAGAATGCATTATTTTTATGTGTTGATTGCTCAATTTATTCCTTTCCCTTCTTGTCTTTTGACATCTAAATTTCGGTGGATGCAGGTAGGAGCTGATTTACGTAAGCCTTCGCAGAAAGTGACATATTTTTTTTTCTTTTGGGTTCGGGGTGTAGAGTTTTTTTTCCACAAGCTGGTGTTGCGGGAGTGGGATTTGTACATATGTTATTAATGTAAGTTTTTATTTTTTGTCCATTTGACGTTCTCCATATATCTTACACGAATGTAATGGTAGCTCCCTGCCTCAGTTTTGATCTCGTGGTGTTTGATACCGGAGTGTAGCCTTCTCCACCCTTTCTAGCGTTTGGAGACGCCTTGAAAAGAAAAAAAAATCAAATCAAGAATAAATCTCAGTTATGTTCTTAATAAGGTACGTAGTCCAGTAATTATTAAATATCTGGTCGATGAGAGATGGCAAGTAGACTAGTGGGGACGCATAAACTGGTTTTAACACCATTGTTATGAAAGGAAAACTAGTAATATAATGTTTTACTGGTAAATTTGAGCACAAGGCAGTTTATTTCCGACAGGAAGTAAAAAGAAATGCTACATAGGGTTAAATTGAAAGCGAAAACGAGTAGTGTTTTTCTCTCCAGTAATTAGACGTTCAACCAAGTGAGAAAATAAAACCACAAAACTTCATTTATGAATTACGAAGTGTTCTTTTCTTTATAAGAAAAATAATATTATATAGCTGTTGTAAAAATAATAGCCGTTAATGTATAAATGTTTTATATTTTTTGTATGTATATATATTCTGTATGTTATATACAAAAATTATATAAATTTTATATACTTTTTCAGCTACCATATGTAAAAGTGATAATATTATTTTTTTACATGGTAAAAGATTATAGTAGTACGCTACGAATTCTCATTTCTCAATATTTAAACTTCGGTAAGTTGCATTACTAATATAATCTATAAAGTTTGAATAACTCAGTAAATGTCATTGTAGAAAATTTTAAAATTTTAAGTGATTACGTGCCTACTTTTTCACTTGTACTATACCTTACATTAATGAATATTTTCCGTTTACCAAAACAAAAAAACCATTGAAGTTAGGCCGGAAAAAGACAAAAAGGGGAAAAAATAAAATTGTGAAAGTTGATGGAGGAATGTAGAAGTGAAGATAAAGAGGCGAATAGGAGCGAAAAGCAATTGGGCATAGAAAATGAAGCTATTCGAATTGCCTCAGCAATTGTGGCTGCAACAACCATACGCCGGCAAGTCCCGCCATTCTCAGCTTCCTCGTCCTACTCATCTTCCATATTCAATTCCCTCTCTCAGGCTCAAAATTCGCACCTTCGCACTTTCCGACCCTGGTGCTTCCGGTGAGCTATACAGTTTTCGTTCCTTCTCTCTTCTTTCCGTTATAGTCGCATACCAAGTGCTTGATATTGGTTCCCTCAAAGCAGATTCGAAAATCTTATATACTTATCAGTGTTATAGTACATTATGCGTTACTCAGTTGTAGTAATGGGTGCAAAGTAAGTAACTGTTTAAAATTGTCTTACTTATATATAGAGTTCGTCTAGTTCAAAGCAGTGCATGGATGAGCTCATCCACATCCAATTCACCACTAGTTCTTTCCCAATGTTGATTTCACGCTCCAATTTGGGGAAAGAAAATGTTACGTAACCTGTCTTTTGGGCTTTTTCAGATTCCACAATCCAGGCCACTCAATCTGATCTTTCGTTAACCTTGAAGGTAGGATTGGGCATAAAAACCAAACTTTGAATGATATTAGTTACTTATTTGTTTTTAATTTTTTTAAATTACTCAGTTGTAGTTCTTCTCTTGTGTTCAGAGGAAAGCAGCAGAAATATCTCCTGGCATGAAAGGAACTTGTATCTTCCTTGTTGGTGGGCATTACTTTTCTACCTCCATTTTAGCATTCTCTTTGTTTCTTGTCTCATTTTATCTAGTTTGTGTCTCAATCCCAAATTGGTTGGCGTCAGATATATAAATCCCTCGTAGTTATCATAGTTGGAATATCTTTAGCTAGCTCGTCATCCTACTGCAACCCTCCTCCTTTATTCAGGCTTCAGACTGGTTATGCGTTGCAAAAGTCACTGATGCAGATTTATCTTATCCAATTTGTGTTGCTTTGAACTGACAGGCTTAAACAGCTCCATCAAATCCAACTCGGGAAAACTTCTTGCAGATGCACTGCGCTATTATTATTTTGATAGGTTATACATTTAAGTTGTTTGCGGGAACTAGTGCTACAATAATAACCATGTCTAGTAACTAAAGTTGTTGCCTTAATTGTTGCAGTGACAGTGTCGTTGAAGAAGCTTTGGGAGGAAAGGATGCTGTCAGGTCATTTGTGAAGACAGACTTGAAGGGCTTTCGAGACTCAGAAGTGACTTTCTAATGTCCATATGCAGTGTTTTCCTGTCTTTTACTGCTTTTCTGTGTTGAGATTTATGACCAAAACTACACTTTGCAATGCAGACGGAGGTACTGAAGCAGTTATCGTCCATGGGTCGCCTTGTTGTTGGTGCTGGGAATGGTGCGGTTCAGCGTGCAGCTAATCTGTAGGACAGCTGCTAATTGTATTTTTTCTCCCCTGTCAAACAGGAAGAGGAAAAAAGAATAGTCACTTGTTCTTGATCATACTTGATGTTTGTAGGGCGCTTATGAGACACGGCATATCAATATGGATTGACGTCCCCTTGGATATGGTAGCCAAGGAAATTGTGGAGGAGAGTTTTCAACCTCCTGCTGCTGAAACAATAAAAGGATCATATCCCGAGGTCTATTTCTGATGACTTCCACCCAAAAAAGCTAGACAAACCCGAGATATTTTTCTTATATTCCTTCTTAATCTTCCTTCTGTTAACCTAATGGTGCCTCTTGTTTGTGGATTTCTTCAGCTGTTGGGCTATGCTGATTTTTAGCCTACCATGGTAACAGGTGTTGACTCAATTAACTGCTATGTATGAAGAAAGCCGTAAGGGATATGCTACAGCTGATACAACTATTGCACTCCAGAGTAATTTGCTATTTGCTTCATAGTCAGTAGCACTAACGTCTCTTTTGCTGTATTTTTAACAGCTTATTTTACATTTGCAGAGGTTGCTTCTCAGTTAGGCTATGATACACTAGATGCAGTAACCGCAGAGGATATGGTTTTGGAGGTAAACTAAAAATTCCCCATGAAGTGGGAGGATTTTTTTTTATATTTTTCGCTAATTGACCGTGTAAGCTTAAATAGACTTTTTATTTTTTATGGTGATTTTAGACTCTGAAGGAGATAGAGAGATTGATGAGAGTAAAGAAGTTGATGGAAGAAGCTGCCAGGCCATTTTAGTTTCGATCACAACCAATGTCGACTATCTAGGTTAGTTCTTATCAGCATTTTTCCCAGGGGTGTTTGATGATTTCTTTTAATCTCATCCTGCTAATTAACTAGACTTTGGATTTATATGCTGTTATCATTTAGAAAACCTGAGATTATTGGTGATGTGTCATACCTCTTGCTAGGCTTGCTCTTCTAGATGAAGGCAGCCTAAGGCAACCAAACTATCAAGTCACTCGGTCCTTTCATTCATCATATATTTTCTGCTTCTACCGGTGTCGGTGATAATACATAGCTGCATCTAACCTTGTGGTATATGGAATCTTTATGTGGAAAAAGAAGTAGATCACATAAAATAGTACATAACAGAGAGTGACATGCTGAATCCTGAAGTTACATTTGTGGATTTGACTAAGATGATGTGGGGAGTTCGAGGGGGAAGACTAAGAAGAAGATAAAGGAGGGTGTAGGGAGGAAAAACGGAAGCACTTAAGAGGTTTTGACAGCAAGGACATGTTTTGACTAAGCTGCCCAAGAGGGATGTCTCTTTTCAAGGGAAAACAGAGAAAAATCAGTGTTACTTCCTACTAATTGCAATTAGTCATTTAGAAGTTCAAGTTAAAAAATGCCGATGAACTTACGAATGACTAGAAAACAGTATATTGTTGACCAAAATAATCATATTGAACAAGTCTTAGATGCACAACTGTGACTTATAACAAAAAAGTCTTAAACATACAATTGAATGCGACGATTCTATTATTAGAACAGCTAATGAAAGATTTTGAAATTATTCGAATTATTATGTGCAGAATCAACCTTTATTGTTTGGATCCTTATGTGCTGTGCTGAAGTTGGAGAAAGTTGGCAACACTTGAAGCTCTTGCAGTTGAATGACTTGTAGTATTGTGAGAGTAATTCTTAAGCGGCATGTATATTGTGAGTATTGTAAATGTTGTACTTTTCTGCACATTTGTATCTTACTGTGGTCGGATGAAACTCTCTTCTAAGTGCCAATCTGCAAAATAAGTTTCAACTTCCTAATAATTAAAAGTTAAACATCTACCAACCGAGTAACTCCCACCTCCAAATTTTTGCTTCCATTTATATGCAGTTAGCGTTAGAGCCTTGTTCTATATAGTGACCATACAGCTATCTTTTGTTGTTTCACTTTTTCCTTTTTGTCATTTTTTCAATAATAGAAAGGGTGTGACACAGCTTGTAAATTTTTCAGCTATACATACTATTGGCCTTCAGATGGTGTGTTTTAAGCAAGAAGTTGGCTAAATTCGTTTGAAAAATTTCAATATTTAGCTTTGCGTAATGTTATTTGGCCTTTTTTGGTTATTCTTAATCAGAAGCACCCAACTCACACTTACCGATTGCCTTGCCTCTAATGGTAACATGCTCAGATTTGAATTGGGCAGCGCATAATGAAATGTTCGATAAAGGTATCAAAAAAATAAATCAAAAAACCTCTAGATCTCATTAGCAAATGACACCAGAAAAATCATCCTCAGGTTTTGGAGGGGTAGCTGAAGACATAGCATTTTCACATATGCGTTTCGGATCATTCAGATTATTTACAATTAAATTCTCAAAATCTGACCTCTTCTGTAGTTGAGTTTCCCCCAATTATATATATCAGAACAATAATTCTTTTGGGACGTTGAATCCAGGGTGAAGTGGTTATAAAGGGGAGGGATGGAAATATTGCAAAGCTAATAACATCAATGTAGTGCTTAATTAGAACAAATAAATTAAGACACAGCTGTGTGCCTGGGTAGATATATACTAAGTATGAGTAGTAGTTTTTTGTTTTAATTAGGCATGTTGTTGAAGCTCGAGAGCCTTAGGTCCTGTACAATGTTGAATGGAGCAGTCAAATCAATGGTGAAAGATGCCAAGTCTGTTTGTTCAAACATATAACTTCATGTTAGATTAGCTTTGAACTGGTTGGTGAAGCGATCCTAATCCATTTCAGGAAAGGCTCGTCCAAATTCGACCTACAAGGTTGCCTCTCTTTCTCTTTGTGATTATATATGTTTTCTTTTGGGTGAGAGTATAAGTGATGTTTGGTTGTCGAAATAAAAGAAGATTGAAGGCCATATATCCTAGTACGTTCCATATAAGGGAAAAGTGTCGGATCGGACTAGCTATGGAGGATGACGCAGTTGCTGAAAATTTCATGCAGAGGCCACACAGCCATGTGCTGACTGCTGATGCCAATCCTATTGAATTCTTTCTTACTTTCCTATGTTCACTCTAAGTGAATTTTATTCAATATTTGAAAATACTCTTTTTCTATATATTGACATGAGAATAAGAATTGTATCTTATAGTAATACTTTGAATATTCAAATTTTAATTTAAAATGTGGAGTTTGAGTTGATCACTATTTATATACATTGGGGAGTGAGCACGATACACATAAGTTATGTCACATTCAGACGTCTTGTTAAGAGGTACCTGGGCTACTTTAATTTGGTAGTCTATCTTCTTATGAATAAATGAAGTGTAGGTGTTAGCTTGGGCAGTTGCGAGGGAGAGGGAATATAGAGCTGTTTTGGAAACTCCGACAGGAATTACATTGGGGTGATGATGATAATGATAGGCTCATACTTCCCACTCTCCTCTATTCAGTACAGTACAATATTATTAATTACTCCTGAATCGCAGCTCTAGTTTAGTTCCCTCCTCTCCAAGTCTCCATCATATAATTGTTTCTTTTTTTTAACTTATATTTATGTGACACGTGTCTCCTAATTGTCATCTACTGTAACAAACAAACTGCAGCATTGCTGCCCTGGGGTGCGTTTGTACGACACTGCAGCCAAGCAAGTGGGTGATTCCTCAGTCCCTCTCCCCTTCCTGTCCTTTTGGTACATTTCATATCTTTTTTGTTCCTTTTATAATGAACCACCGAGATGTTAATTAATTAGTACTTCACATCCAGGGGCGGATTTAGGGGCGGAAAGGTTTCACCCGAACCTTCTTTGTCGAAAAACTACGCTGTATATATAAGGCGAAATTTATTTTTTTATTTCTATATATTATGTCTTGAATCCCTTTGACATAGCCCAAAAGCATATATTGGTTATCAGGGGTTTCAAAACCTTTGTGAGGTCATTGGTTCAATTCCCACTAACTACGATTTCATTTAATATTTTAACTTTTTTCTTTTTGGACCTCCTTAAAGGAAATTTTGCCTCGCCACTGTCCATATCACATCTCTTTACTATAATTCTAATTATTTCTAGCTTTTCTTTTTAAAATTTTCCCCTTATAAGTGTGCCTCATCGTATCAGTCTTTCAATCGTTACATCAAAGAAAAAACAAAACATAAAATGTTTTAATCTACTTGGCTTCCCGTCAAAGTGTAGTTTCTGAAATAGTCATTCAGGAGTAGTACTAGTTGACATAACTTAGGCGTGTATCACCATACCTCTGGAATAAGAGTAGGACTCCATTTTAGGATTGTTTACTAGTGTAGCCATATTGGGTAGGGTGTCATTTTAGTGATTTATTTGAATTCAAAGTTGAATGTGATTAGACTTCCCTTTAATTTTGTGTGTCAGAATTATAATATACTACAAGGAATTGTTGAATGCAGATACACATATCCTCACATTCATCTTGTCAATCACTCTTTTCCTTAAAGATATGAAAGTTGTTAAGCCCCATCCACCCAACCCCCCTAAAAAAAAAAAATAATATAAAAAACTTTCACGTACTTCTCCTACCTCGTATCCTTTAAACCGAACCAGTGTGTACCTAATCCTCTTAAAGAGTGTTACTCCTAGTGAGGATATATAACTTTAACAGAATCAGGACTGCAACTATATGTAAAGGATAAAAAAACCTAAATGATGAGGAATATGCAACGTTGAACAACACTAGTTACGAATGTTAATTAGGTCAAATTTAGCATGATAAAAGTCCTAACTAGTTAAATGCGCATGGCCGGATACTATGCCGCGCCGCAAACAATGTCCTTAATTTCAACATCAATCCAGTATATTCTCACAAGTTCTGAGGAGGATAGTGTGTTCGCAAACATTATTCCTATATCTTGGTGGAACAGAGAGGTGGTTTCCGAAAGAATATGTACTTAATGTCATACTCTGTAAAATGTGCCTCATGTAATGCCAAGAAAGGGTAGAATGTTTATAAACTTATAATGTAAATTAAGAGCTTTCACAATATTAGAGTACTTAAAAACCAAATAAATGAAATTAACTGTTTTATAATAAATGTGGTTTGAGAACCTGTAAAGTGATAAATCTATTTGTAGGTCGTAAGTGTTATTTACAAACCAAAAAGATTTGGTATTAGTATGAGTTATCATTAGTGATTACATGCATGCAATTTGATGATGACAGAATTAGTAAAAAGTGTTGAAGTGCCCCCCTAGTGTACACTAATTGAAAAAGTGGGGTAGAGATAGATAAATAGATAAAAACAAATTAAACAGAGGCAGAAACACTCTCTCTTTCTCTCTGCTCTGCCAAATTCTATCACCATTTGCAACAATTCCCTGCTCTCACTACTTACTGCTTCTCCTCCTTCCACTTTTTCTGATCACTACTCTCTCTATATATAATTCTCCACTCTCATCATTTTCACATACATTTCTCTCTTTTCTTATATCTCCAGCTACAGCAACAATGGCCGACCCCAACCTAGTTTACGACTTCTGGAACCAACAGCAGTACTCTAATTCCACTGAAATGGTCATGATGTCTGATATCAATGTTCCTTCTAATCTGAATCAGCAGCAGCAACCCATTCCTCTCCCAAAGCCTAATAAGCCAAAGGTTCAACCTTCTAGAATGTTCTCTTGCCTCTACTGTTCTCGCAAGTTTTGCACTTCTCAAGCTTTGGGTGGTCACCAAAATGCTCACAAGCGTGAAAGAGCCGCTTCTCGTCGTACTATGTTCCCGGTCACCGGCACCGACTCCGACGACCGTAATATGGTACATTTCCATTTTCTTCAAAACAACAACAACAACAACGAGAAGCAGCTGGAGCCTAGTTTGAATAATTATCCTCTGATGACTGGCCAGATGCTGCCTGAACAAAACAGCATCGACATTAATGGTAACATTAATCATACTAATACTACTTATAGTTATAACCCCTACGCTAATTACTGTAGGGGCCAGCTCCAAACACCAGCTTCAAACAATATCAATGTCTTTAACCCTTTCTCCTCCTCTGACGTTTATCATCCTCCTCCGGTACCGTCTCTTGGACTCGGCGGTCATCATGTCTATTTTACTGGTGGTGATGCTACTCTCTCGACGGCACAGGATTTGTCTTCTATGGATAATCACCAGCTCAATCTTGACCTTACCCTTCGTTTGTAGGAGAAATTGGGTCCTGCTAGATCTCTGTTTTAATTCCTTTTTCTAGTCTTAGTAAGAGAAAAAAGAAATTCACTGTTATTGGAGTTTTAGTCTTTAGAATATTAGCGAGCTACTGAAGCATTAATTAGTTTGCAAAAAATATTATTCAGGGTATTGAGTTTGTTTTTTTTTTTTTTCTTTTTTTTTAAAGAGTAGAACGAGCAACTCAAGCAGTTACACTCATGGCCGGCGTCAGATCTAGATCATTCACTAGCTAGATATAGGTACTAAACTAGTCTTAATTCCCTGTAGTTAAAAAGTTTTACAGATGAATATCATGAATTCTGTTGAGCTTCTTAATTTTCATTTTACGTTTGTATTTATGGTAATTAAACCAATGCAAATTCTGTGAATTCAGCTAAAGTTTCGTCTCCTCTTTTTGTTGAAAGCTCCAAATGAACTGCTTATCCAATATGTACAACAAGTGGTATATGTGTACTATGTTTTGGGAGAGAGGCCAGGGTTGGTTAGGGGGAGAGGGTTAAGAAAACTGTAAAGCTGACAAATGATGGTGGCTCCCACTTATTAAAATTTTAAATTCAGTTAATCGATTAGTAATTTTAGTTTGGGTGTGAATAGAGTATATATGAAGAAAACTGATTGTTATGGATAATATATCATAATTTTGAGTAGGAATAGTATGGGCAGTAGTAGTAGTTATTTTAGGTTGCATGCATGCATAGTTGAAAAGATATATATATACTCTTTGATGTTCAAGCAATGTGTAATTAATGTGAATGTGATATTGTATGTATTTATTAACTACTTATGTTATTCAATTATGGAGCAGAGAAATGAGTAAAAGAAGTAACAGGTAGTTTTGTCTTTATTTATTGATTAAGTACTAGTTAGTATAATTAATTTTTACGTGTGTTTTCTGCAGTGGATAACATAATACAGTGAGATAGTCCCATTTATTCTGCTGTCGTGTAGCCCCAACAAAGTGAGCATTCTGTTGAGCTTCAAAACCAACACCTTTTTATTACTTTACTACAAAATAAAAACCATTCCTAATTTGTTCATTCTTCTGATTCCCATTATTACTTAATGTACACACTACTTGTTCTAAAATAGTACTACCTTATACTCTGCAACACAACATTAACTACCGTTACCTACAGAATAGGGAAATCAATTACTATTACTTAGTTAAAAAACATCCTATATATACTCCTTCATTCTTAATGGCACATGTAATATTAGCATTACACTTGCTACGATAGCTTTTGACTGATTTCTCTTACTATACTTAGGACAATCGATGGAGGGACCACCACCACCTAAACGTCTTTTGCCTAATCAAATTTGGTCCTTTTTTTTTTACTTTGTATTTCCATATTTTCTTGAGAGCAAACTTGCAAGAAAATCTCTGATTTTGTTTTTGATAACCCTGTCCTTGAGCTCACAAACCAAGGCTCTCCGTGCTTTTGGCTATTACTAAAGAGATAAGAACTAAAACTCAATTAACTCAATTCCTATGTACGTTTAGCTTTCACTTTCTCACACGTCAACAAGAAGCTCAACTCAAACATTAAAGGGAAGGGGATAAACCTAAAGATTTAGGGTACGTAATTGATGAGGATATGATTAAGGCCCCACCTAACATATCAACATTTCCTTCGACCCAAACTTTTGACGATGAGTGAGTTTTCCCATGCCACATTATGTAAAGGTTGATCAACTCGCAGCAAAATGCTAAGAGATTTATAGCCCCAAGCTTGACCAAACTAATTACTACTCAAAAGTATTTTTCAAAATTAATTAGTCAAACACAAAATGCTTCTCACCAAAATTACTTTTTTTGAAAAGTACATTTGGAAAACACACTTCTCAAAATAAGCAGATTTTAGAAGCCTGACCCACAGGCTATTGGAGTTCCTTCTTTTAAGCTTGTTAACCCAAAATACCCCAGAAAAAAAGAACCTGTAATCAAATCATTGCTTGCTTACTTCTGATACAAACACAGAAAAGAAGGTAGCACCTTTTTTATTTTTGTTTTTCCTTTCAAAGACGAAAGGTGGCATATTTTATCAAAAGGAAAAGAAAAGAAAAGGCCCCATTTGGCTATGAGTTTTGCCAAAATAAATTTGGAATTTATTTTCAAAACTCATATTTGGCCATAAATTTTGCCTACATTTTTGCCAAATCTCAAATCCCAAATCCCAAAACTTGGGAATTATATACTCCCTCCGGTCCAAAATAAGTGATTTTTTTGGTCTTTTTTTGTGGTCCAAAATAAGTGATTTTTCCAGATTTCAAGAATGAATTAATTATTTTTTTCCTACATTGTCCTTGAAGTAAATGGTGTTGGAATATGTGTTAGGAGTATTTATGTGAGATAGTAAAGGTTAATATGATCAATTCCATTGCTAATTAATGCTAAAAGGCATTCAAAAATCACTTATTTTGGACCAGAGGGAGTACATGTTTTTCCAAAATAAAGTTGGAAAATATGTTTTGAAAACATTTGTCCAAACACATTTTCATCTTCAAACCAAACTTCACCCAAATCAGATTTTTCAAAATAAATTTGGGATCTATGGCCAAACGCTAGCTTAGATACGTGAAGAATAACTATAGATCAAAGGTCGGAACTTCAGATTCAAAACCATGGCTAGCCTGGTAAACGGTTCGGGCCAATATGTTCCTATATGGATCATTCTCTCTTTTCTCCTTCAGGAAATTAATGCATCTCTCAACCTCAGACTTCACTTCCAAGTATAATTCATGTGCTTTTTCCCTGCTTTTTAATTCCTCCTTCCTCCCTGCAACACCAAGTAAAATGCCATCAAACATCACCTCCAGGCTTTTCCAGCATGGAAGATTAATACTGTGATGTACTTTAGGAATTACCTTCTGTTTCAATTGGCTTGCCGAAGTAGAAGTAAAAACGACCGGGAAGCTTTGGAAGAATGATTGGAAGATGTACATCTTGGTTTGCAACCTCTCCTTCAATGTCATTTCTGTATTCACATACAAGACAACATCCCCAGGTGAAATTTAACCGTCACTCAATCACGTGGTTCGCAAAGTGGCTTTTAGCTCAACTACCTTCTAATTAGCCAATCTTTCTTCAAGGTTAATGTTTTAGGCTAAGGTGCAATATTTTCAATCATAAACTTAATCAGTCAAATAGGTGATACTCATAAATGCTAAGGAGATGTTATCGCATTACAAATTGTACGTTTTAACTGGTCTAAAAGCTTGAGCATGTTAAGTCATTAAAAGTAATGGACATTTCAAGTCTTCTAGCAAGATGACATAGACCACCATGGATTTCCACCTTGCATGCAGCAAATAAGTTTCCAAGTATTAAAGTAAGGTCCATTGACTATCACAACATAGAGACTAAGGGTATGTTTAGTATGAGAATTCATTTTTCATAAAAATGTTTTCTGCGAACTTTGAACTTCATATTACTTGTTTCAACTAACACTTGGACATTATTATTGATCTTTACTACTCAAATTTCATCAAACCATTTTCCTACGTGCTAACATTATTATTAAATCTTTAATATACATTCTTTTCGTAAAAGATTTTCCACTCGCCAACCAACAACCAAACAACGGAACAAACCAGGAACACCTTTTCCATGAAAAATGACTTCAATCATATCAAACACACTCTAAGTTGGATAAAATAAGGAAAGAACAAACTTGATACCTTAGCTTCTCCGCCTCATCAGTTAACTCCTCTATCCCAGCCTTGAAATAGGGTATCTTCATCAGGTCATTGTAATCAAGGAGCATCTGTTGAAAGGATGGTGAGTGCACAAGAGGATGAATTCTGTGATACAAAAGTTGCTAAATTTCCTCCAATAAGGAAAGCTCTCAATGTTACTCGCAGCAGATCAAAAGTTTAGAATAACAGCCCGCCATAGAAAAGCATATTCATTTTATTCCTTCCTCAACAAAGAGCTTTGGGGTAGTCAGATCTGTCGACGTAGTTGAACCAAGTTTTCCAACTTTATCTTTCAACATAAAAGCAAAAGAACATTTTCTCTATGCTAAAACTGAGGGAGAGACCTCAATTAGTAGATGAAAGTCTTTTTATATTGAGCAAAAAATAATGACCAGCCAAATAATGACTAAATTTTCTGCTTACAAGAGCTGCTTTCTTACAATCTACTTATGGTAGTTACTAGACAAGTTTTGATACATCCATTTGTAAATTCTGTTTCTTTTCCCTTTCAAAATGAGAATTGTGTAACATCAGCACCAGAAAAAACCTAAGGATTCAGTTTGATTAATAAAACACAGTTACGGCACTGAAGCCACAAGCTGTTTTGTGCCGGCACACCTTATCCATTTGCCTTTCAACAATGATTTCCATCTTGTTGTCATAAGTATTCAACATTGCTTTAAGCATTTCTTTTTATATTTATATTTCTAAATGTACTTGTGCATCCCAAACAAAACAAGCTCAACTTTTGTAGTGAAACACATGGACCAGAACAGATGCGCATGTTCTGATTTGAATTATTCAAAGAATGTAAACTCATGAGACTACCTGGCCAACATCATCTTCTCCCACCGTACCAAAAGGTACAATTTTCGCTCCAAATCTAGCTGCCATCCTGACAAATTCAGACTGTTCTGGCCAGAATAATTTGTACTCCTCTCCCTGAAGTTAGAAGACCAAACTGTTAGAAGAACAGCAGGCTTTTATTTTCTGCTCATTGGCTATTTAAGTAATAACCTTATTCAACATTTAAAACTGCAAAGAATACTGCTATTATTCTAAGTCAATCTCTCAAGTAAGTATCTTCCAACAACTTACTTCAGTACTTAATTTTGGCCTTCTCATCAGATATACACTGTATCAAACTTTCCTTAGAACCACATATAACAACAGATAAGATTGCATCTTGAGAAATCAACAGGTTGTAACTTTCACTTTTGTTTCATCAATATGAAAACTGACCATCTAATTCTACATTTAGTGATGGGGTCCAGATATTACAAAGTTAAATTAGCTCATATATAGTTGTAATATCAAATGCTTACAGATGACAGATTCAGTTTCTAAACTGGAATAATCAATTTCCTATAATTATTGGTATCTTTAAAAACATGCATATATGCCAAAATAAGTAAGCAAGAAAGAGAGAGATGCGTATATATACAAGATAACTGCTCCTACCAGATGACATTAATAAGATTAATGTTGAGCCTAAGATACGGAATCAACTGATCTGCTGGATGGTGCAGTTGTTTTAAAGAAAGAAAAGGTTATTGATCAACTCATTAACAGTTTCACATGACTTTATGCTTCAAGTACAGCAGGGAAAAATCACACGAATTAATCACAAAGTTTTTAAGAGATGCAACCCTTAGATTCTTAAAATGAAATGTAAAAATATTTTGAGTAGCGCATTTCTTAGCAATATGTTTTAAGTAAATAATACCTTCCGGTGAAGAGCTTCCCGCATGCCCCCGGGATACAGCAAAACATGGGATTTTGATGATAAAAGTTTATAGAAGTTAGTTGCTGACACGGGAACTGCACCCATAAAACGGAAATCATCATACATCGATAACACAGGCATTCTCCCCTCTCCTAGTCTCTGAAACATCATAGGATGCGCTATGCCTCGCAGGACAATCTTTTTCTCATTCCACAAGCGGGACACCAGAGGAACTAGTTCAAGTCCAAGCATCATGTGATAACCTACGAGTAAGACCGGGCCTTCAGAAGGAATTCCAGTCAGACCCCGAACAATATTTCCATTCTCGAGAGTTGATATCATTACAGGGTTGAAGGCAACTTCCATCCATCTGTGTTTTGATCAGTCATACAAGTACTAACAATTAAATAAACTTACAGTTTTTGTGTTATTTATCAAATGAACTAAGTATACGTTGAATAGCAGATGCAGATGAGTTGATTCACTATGCCAATAAGAGTTCCTGACTAGCTTAACCCTGTTTAGGTAGTTCAAAGGTAGCATCTTATATAGAGAAGCAAGACCCGCCAATAATATTTTTTCAGCATGGAACCTCATTAAAATAGATATCGTATCTATGCACATAGAGCACAATATACAACTGTAAGAGACCAGGAAGCAAATAATTCGGCTCTACAGTCCCCTAAAGATGGTTAGTGTCTTCCAACATAGTACAGGACAACATACCTGTATGGTTGATACACACTGTCAAATTCAGAAGTGCTTGGCGGCACAAAATCTTTAACAAAGTCAAGGTGCCTTCCACGTCGATAAAAACTGGCACCCTTTATGACAGTTACCAAATCAAAGCCATCTTCCTGCACAAAAACTGCAACTCAACATGTACCCCCGCAAAGGTTTTTTTTTTTTTTTTTTTGGGGGGGGGGGGGGGGGGGCAAAAGATTTGGTATAAATGGTTTAAAAGTTGGGAATATATATTTTTGGGGACTTGAGGTAACCACCACATGCATGCAGCACTTAGAGCATACAAAGTAGGCTATTGCATGACTATATAGCCTATTATATAAACTGCCATTACAACAACTATATGAATCCTCGCTTACTATAAGCCTATTATATAAACTGCCATTGGTACTGATTATTTCAGTAGGAAGTAAGGCATGCAATATGCCACTGTGTGACATTATTATGGAATTATATTGATAGAGTAATTCTGTAGGAAGGCCACAGTCCACACTGAAGTTGTTACTTTTTATCTTCAAGCTTCGAAGATGAAAAAAACAAGTAGAAAAGTGCTATATCAGGATTGTAGCATTCCTGAAATCCTAAATTACAGCAGATAATAGAAAATGAGAGAAAAAGCTACAAACTTCAGCTGGTATACAAACTGCATGGATAATTCCAAGTTGGAACAGCGCAGGGAATATCCCAATAATCAATAACGTATAAATGAATGACCAGGACCTGTATTTTGCATAAGCAACTAGAAAGCACACTATTACCAGGAAATTGCAAGCACCAAAGACCAGAGGCGGACCTAAGTTGTAAAGAGAGGGTTCACCAACATCCGGAAAGTTCGGCAAAAATTACATGCAAACATATATATGTCTACTCAAAAATAATAATATATTAGTAGTGGCACTTTATATACAAAGCAAATTTTAGTTGAATGCAAAAGTGCACCCGTAACCTTCAAATCTTGGGTCCGCCTCTGCCAAAGATAGAGGCTATCATCTTGCCTTACTATGCATCTGATCCTTGAGATTCTGTCTCCTACTTCACTTATTCCTAAGCCTCTTCATTCACTAAGAGGCATGTTCTCTTTGCTCCATTTTATTAAGAGGCATTTTCTCTTTTATTTTCTTTTTTATAACTAAATAAACCTCAACAAGACTTCATGTACAAGATTTTTGGTAATTCTATCTATATTTGATGTATAGTCTAACCAAGAAGTTCTCTGCTTTGTTTTATTATTTGTTGACAAAGATTTCTCTAAAGTAAGTCCTTGAACTATTACCATTTGCATTAGCAGTTTTGGGTATGGTACAGAACAGAAGTCATTTATGGAGGTTGGAAAAAGGAATTGGGTCTGAAAGGGTTTGGAAAAGAAGAACAGCCTACCAGGAGAAGGGCATGACCACTGTTATTAAATCTCCGGATTTCACAGTTTGGAAGCATGTGACAAAGCCTCTCACCTTCCTCTGGGCTGGGTATCAAGTGATCCTTTCCACTGCATAGCAATAGAACACTTAGTCATGCGTAGTGACAGCCACGAAAGCTAACCTGAATTAGATATTGCTCGAAATGTCTAGAAAGAGAAGAGAATGCAACAATTCTAGTGTACACTAATAAACTTCATGTAAAGATGGCAAGAGAGAGAGAAAATCAACTATTTCCCAGGAGGGAGGAGGGGTTAAAAAATCTCTCTTTCATCAAATTTTACCAGTGACACGCTGGAACTCTGAAGAATTACCTAGAAAGTACCAGAGTCTGAGCTTTGACAGCATGGAGGCGAGAATTGACAAAAGCTGCGGCTGATTTGAGCATCTTCAGCCGCCAGATAAGTGTTTCTGCAGGTAAAACATCAGCCAGCACCTGCGACCTTTTTCATCATTTTCTTGCTCAAACTGACTACATGAAAAAACTGAAACTGAATATATCAACTAATAATGGACCTCTAAATTAAAAATTTTGAAACTATTGAAGTATCAAAGCTAGAGCGGAAAAAGAAGATTTCAACAGGAATAAACTTGGTGACTGAAAGGAAATCATATCAATGCTAAGGAGATGACACAAAGAATAAATTGATGAAAGGTCCAAAAAAAAATTTAAAAAAAATAAAAATCAAGGGGTGAAAACTTTAAGAGTTAGAGGGATGACTTTTGTATTTAACCTACTGAGTTAAGACTGTTGAACCTTACAGATAAGTAGGATGAAAATGCTGCATCACCGCGAAATAACTCAGCTACTGCTTGTTGCAGAGGACGCCCGTTACCAGGAATTGCCACTGCCACCCTTGTAGGAAGACCTAATCATTGTAATTGAGTTTCACACATCAGTTGTCAGTTCATCTAAAAGTTTACCACAAAGGAACTCAGTTAACCAATTTAAGCAAGAAAAACGGCAAGTATCACTGAAGTTATTTAGTCCTAATCAGCAACAGCAACATCAACAACTACGCCTCAATCCAAAGCAAGTCGGGTCGGCTATATGAATTCTCACTCTTCATGTCGCTCCATTTCGAGCCCATCATAGTCCAATATTAACTATTAAGGAGGGGGTTATAGTCCCAATCAACATTACAATTAAAGTACCAAATGTAAATTTATTCGTGCAAGCGCTAAAAGATTAGGTGATGATTTATTGACATCATAAATCAGATGAACATGAAATTACAAGCTTTATCAAGAGAAGTTCAAAAGGACAGGCTGTAATAATAAGGTGAGGTGTTTTACCAAATCTTTTGCTTCTTAAAGAATTATGCATACAGCAAGCAGATCTGAATGTTTGTTCAATATTGGGATTAAGTTCTTCAAGTCATTGGTTTATTCTGGCTCAGCAGTCGAGCCGTTCGAGTTGACTGGATTTGTGGTGCAAGTTAGAACAAACATGACCAGAATAAGTAGCTGCACACTTAGATGAAGCATGCGTTGCCTCAACTGATACGCACATATTTTGGAGAAACATACAATGTAAAGCGAGATGTGTGGTAATAGATCGGCAAGCAAACATCTTAATTTGTAACTGGAGAGCATGTTTAGCATGCTTTTTGCTCCTACAATCTAAAAAAGCAACTCATACAATTCTAGTCAGCAAGATTTCTAATCATAAAGATACAGGATAAATAATAGTCCTAAGCTAGTTCATTTATAAACCAAACCAAACAGTTCACATTTCATCTAGCACAGTAATCTAGGACATGCAGGAAAAGTAATTTTTTTTGGAAGATTTCCGGAAAAAAATGAGTTAGGAAATCTTCAAAAGAAGTTAATCTTTCCTGAAAAAATCATTCAGACAAACACTTTCTACAAAAACTCAAGAAAAACTCAGTTTCTGCTACTTCAAAACAAATGCCACATAAATATACAACTCAGAGTTGTTAAAAGTAATCATAATGCTAGTTCACCAAGTCAAATTTCCATCCAGTTGAACGATTATACTCCTAAATTAGAGGGTGAAGTTAACAATAACCTGTCGTCACACTTAGCGTTTTAACCATGCTTGTATGGAGTTGCTCGGGAATGACTTCTGACAGCACTATCAGATTTTGCAGCTGAGATTCACATAGACGCGTGGCTGAGACACATCTTTGCAATGAGAACTATGAAATGCTTCAGGCAATATTAAATCTTCTCAGATAAAATTACAAGCTTCTGAACCTGGGTTTGCCAAAATTAGTGCAAGATCAATATGAGGATTACGAGCAGCAACAGCAAGTGCTAGGCATCCCCCAAAAGATTCTCCAAGAAGATAGATGGGCCGTCTTGGTGCATGGTGATGCTCTGACCTAACAGTTGCTTCAACCAGGAGCACCAGGTCTGGAGGACAATTAAGTGGAAGCATATCCCGCTGTTACTTCCATTTCAAATGATAAAACCAGCACACAAAGTCACCAGTTTAAAAGGGAAAACATGCTTAAGATGGAACACGACAGATTTGTCTAGTCACATTGTTCAAATTGTAAAGTGAACACGAGTTAAATTACACATTACAAAGAAATGCAAAAAGCACAAGATATCACGGCATAGACATTAGGGATCTGTGCTTACTAAGCCTTTGTTTGAAGGACCGGTCTTAAAGTGAAGTGCAATTAATGTTTAAAGAATAACTGAAAGACTTTTATGCACCGCTTGCTCCCACTTATTAGGTGATTCATAATTATCTCATTCAGCTGAACCTAAAGGGGCGGTTTTTGCAAAATTACATAAGATCTGTATCTGTTATGCAACACTAAGAGAGTTCGACTTCAGTATACGATAATTGTAGTCCTCAGATCATAACTTCTAAAGTTTCATATGGAATCATACAATGAATCAAAATTTAGGGGCAGCGGCACTTACTACCATTTCCCCTCTTTAAATATTCTTATTCAGCTGTTTGGTTTCCATCTATTAAAATTCTAACAAGCAATTTTGCCTAAGAACACAACAGGGAGATGAGGAAGGAGAGACCTGTGAACAATGTTCGATCTGTAACTGGAACATGGAGACACCACATATTGAAGATCCTTCATGTATGGATAGCACCACCCAAAAAGAAAAGAAAAGAAGAAGAAGATGATGATGACTTAACAGGATATTGAAATCTAGTACAACACAAACATCTTAATAAATAGTAATACTGAAAATCAAACATTTTAAATTCCAGCATTGTGCCGGAAAGATCAACTAACAAACTCACCTTCCAAGTCGCTTATGATGCTTTATAAGGCCAAGTCCAACACCATCAATCCCTGCAATGTTCCGAGTAAATAGAATTGCTTAATTAACTTATAGATTTAGCTATTTAGATCAATGTATGAACAGTTCACAGACGCTGATACAGAGAAGATATTTGTCTAGTGTGTGCCATCAGCCATATATCAATATTTGCACTATGGTTTTGTTCACAACGAAATAATTGCACCACTTAACAATGCAAATATGCAATCACTTATAAATTTTGCCATTGCAGTTATTTGAGAGGATGTTAGTGTTTTTATACAAGAGGATCAATAAGCTAGAGCTAATTACTATGTCCAGCAACATTTATATTTGTTGAGATGCTTTGGTAAAACCAAACATAGTTAAGATAACAAAATAAGTTGATTCAAAAATTTATCACATAGTGTGTGATGGAAATACTTAGTATTCTATTAACAATGGAGTATTGTTTTATACATTTTTCACAAGCTTCTAAGATTTAAATCTATTAACCATTCAACTTTAAGTTCAGATGCGATATTTTCTTATTCAACTTATATCTAATTTTTTATTTTACTATTTTCTTTCATTACTACTTTTATACAAAGAAGTTATACTAATATCTTAAACTTTGTACTTAGTTAAATAGAGTAAAATAAAACGGGACGGAGGGAGTATAAACAGCACATAGTTAATGCTCTTTATTTTTCTTGTTCGAACATTTTTTCATAAAGTTCGTCTTTTATATGCTATCTGGTTCAGACACCGAAGAACTTAAAAGAACAGAAAAAGTTAAAAGTAGATATATCTGCATCCTTTGCTCGTAGCAGCTACGTTATCAGTGATTACTACGTGTTTGATGATGACAGGGAAAACGTGGACAGTTAGATAGGTAGAAGACCCAATCGATACTTTCTACTCTAAAAGTAGCAGTTCACTATAATACTGGCATGTCCTAATCCAGATCGTCTTTCCTTCTCTTTAATTTCTGGTCTATCGTCCGTTCAATTCTAGATATTTATTAGTAATAGAAGAAAAGAAAAAAAATTTATTCGGTGCGTCATTTTACTCACCTGGTAAGTAGAGCAAGAGAGGCGAGTCTTTGATTGGAGAACCGCAGTCCAAGGGCGAAAACCAGCGTGGTGGCCCACCCTCGGATCCGCATCCAATCATATCCTTGCTCCATTCCATGTAATCCTTTATAGTCAAAGTTTTTTCCTCTATCTCATGAGTAGTGGAGTTGTTCCTTAAGCTTCCGTTGTTGCTCAACGGAGCAGGAGGCGTTGGCGGTTGCTGGCCGGTGGAGGCGGCTGATCCCCCAGCAGTACTTGCTGATGCACGCACCCGAAAGTTGAATCTTGCGGAGGTGACACGGAGGCATGAGTTCGGATGGAGCAGCGGCGAGGCACCGGCCGCCGTGTAAGCGCCAGTGGGAATAGCCGCCATGGACAAAAATCAAAATGCCGATAAGCTTTTGCACTGTGTAAGAACAATTAGTTTTGAAATGGAAAGCTCGTTATATCTTTGCACCTTCTTTTTATATTGACTTTTAGTTATTCTATTGAATAAACAATCATAAAATATCAATAATGGACTCATGACGACCAATATATACATACATCATCTGGACCCCACAGCCTCACTTAATCACTTTTGGTGAAGTAAAAGACAGCCATTATTAGCTCATCCACACATGTTTAGTGGTAATGCAGTTGCTTGTATGGAATCTTTGCGTAAATAGCATGTTATATTCATCGTTTATTTTTTAGTAATTTTTATAAATTATACATTAATTATACATAATTATATATATATAATATATAAATTACGTATATATATTATATCTTTATTGGCTATTTTTAATTTATACGGTTAGATGGACGACTATTTAATTAATTATTATACTTAAATTTGGATGAATAGGCTGCTTTATATGAATTGTTGTGTCTAGTTGTTGTATACCACGTAATTTCTTCTGTTACCAACCTTAGTGGGCGTTTGGACATAAAAATTGTAAAATTTCTGGAAAAAGTAGTGGAAAAAAATTCAAGTGTTTTGAAAATTAGAGTTGTGTTTGTACATGAATATAATTTTGGGTTATTTTTGAATATCTGTGAGTGATCTAAGTGAAAATTTTGGAAAAAAATAGCTTTTTGGAGTTTTTCAAATTTTCGAAAAATTCTTAAATTCATACGAGTGAAAATTGAAAAATTATGGCCAAACACTGATTTCGAAAAAAAAATCGAAAAAAGTGGATTTTTTTTATGGCCAAACAAGCTCTTAAAGTGCGTATTGAAAAACGACTTTCTTGATTGTAACAACATAAATTTGCCTGTAAGAAAGCAAAATAGATTATACTTATCCAACATAAATTTTAAAATAGATTATAATGAAGCATATTCGGACAAATACAAATTTTACCCACTTGATAGCTGTTGAGAGTATAAGCTGATAGTGGCTATATGTGTAATAAGTAGCTAGTGTTAAATGTAATGGCTATTTGTGCAAAAACTAGTTAGTTAAAGATGTTAGTTAGAATACTGTATATATACGTGATTGGGTACAGTACCATCAATAGAAGAAACGAGAAGCAGTTATTTTCTCTCTAAGTTTTCTTCTGCTCATACTTCTTCTTCTTCAAGCTCTCTTCTCGTTGATAAACTTGACATGGTATCAGAGCCTACTGCTCAGATCTAGATCTCAAATCGTCGAAGTAGCTGCAGAATTCAAGCTCAATTGTCTCAATTACGCAGGCTCAAGGTCTACCTCTACAGTTGAAGCTTAGCAATGGCGGAAGTTGACAATGAAGCTCCTGAGAAGTTAAGTCATAATCATCCTCTATTTTTGAATTCAAATGATAATTCTGGTGCAATTCTGATCTCGCTACAATTGCGAGGTCCAGAAAATTACTCGGTGTGGAGCCGGGCAATGCGAATTGCTATTTTAGGGAGGAACAAATTAGGGTTCATCGATGGCACTGTAAGCGAGTAAAGTTTGGCCCTAATCTAGTGGATCTATGGGATAGATACAACGCCATAGTCCTGTCATGGATTATGAACTGTGTATCGCCCGAGTTGCTCAGTGGAATAGTTTACTCATCAAATGCAAGTGCTGTGTGGAATGACTTAAGAGAGAGATTTGATAAAGCTGATCTCTCCAGAATATTTCAAATCCACAAGAACATTGCAACAATCAGTCAAGGAACTAGCTTGATATCCTCATATTTCTCAAAATTGAGGCAGCTGTGTGCAGAATTTGATAGTTTAGCTCCAATTCCTGGGTGCGACCGTGAGAAATCACGTGAATTTGTTATGTTTATGGAAAGGCTAAAACTGTTACAATTCCTTATGGGACTAAATGAGTCTCATGAGCAAGCTAGAAGTCAATTGCTCATGATGACACTAGCTCCCTCTGTTAACAAGGCCTATTCTATGATGATGGAGAGGGAAAGCCAAAGGGCAATTGCATACACTAATCCTGCAGAGAACTCAGATTTCACCTCGTTGATATCTGCTAGAGGTGGTTTCCAACAAAGGCCTAAGAAGAGCTTTAACCTGGTTTGTGATTACTGTAAGTATAAGGGGCATACTAGAGAGAATTGCTTCAAACTAATCGGTTATCCGGCTGATTTTAAACATAAAAAGAAAGGAAATACATTCCCTACAGCTAACTTTGCAGGAAATACTGGTGACTCTGGCACATTAATGCCTACTAATGGAGATCATGATGTTTGTTCAGCAGATAACCTTGCAGGTAATAACATTAGAGGAAACCATGGGGAGAGAATTCAGCCTCAACTTTATCCAGCAGCCACACCTCACTCTGCAACATACTTCACTCCACAGCAGTATCAACAAATCCTTCATATGCTTGGGAAAGCAAATGAAGAATCAACCAGCTCTGCTCAACCAACAGCAGCAGGTATATTTGACTTCCTGTCTAGTATAGTTGAGGATAAGTGGATAATTGATACAGGAGCCACCAATCACATGGTAGGGAATTCTAAGTTGTTGACTAAAATAGATAAGAAGTCTGGTTTGAAAGGAGGTAAAGTGCATCTTCCAAATAGGAATGAGGTATCAATATCAAACACAGGAACATCTAGAATTTTCAGAAATCAGGACATAGAAAATGTGTTACACATTCCTGACTTCAAGTTTAATCTTTTGTCTGTGTCTAAGTTGACAAAAGAACTGAAGTGTTGTGCTGCATTCTTCCCTGATTTTTGCCTATTCCAGGACCTCTTCAGTGGGCAGGTAAGGGGGATTGGTAGAGAAGAGTGTGGAATGTACTATTTGAAGTCAGCTTCAACTCCTACTGCATCACCTGTTCAATCACAATTACAAGAGGCTGATAGTAAAGAGAAGTGCTATTCTGTGTCTACTAATGTTCCACTGTCTGTATGGCATAATAGATTAGGCCATGTTCCTTTAGATATGCTCAGAAAATAGAGTTTTTGAAAAACTGTAAACTTGATAAGCAGCATCATTGTCCTGTATGTCCTCTAGGGAAGCAGTCTAAACTTCCATTTCCTATTAGCACCACTATTTCAAATAAGCCTTTTCAGCTTGTTCATGGGGATGTATGGGGCCCTTACAGAGTACCTACACATGATGGGAAGAGGTATTTTCTAACACTGGTGGATGATTTCTCTAGGTACACTTGGATTTTTCTGTTGAATAATAAAGCTGAAACTTTTGTTGTGTTGAAGCAGTTTCTTGCCTTGGTAAAGAATAGATTTAACTCTTCTGTCCAAACATTAAGAACATACAATGGCTGTGAGTTTTTAAATTCTCAAATGAATGAGCTGATTCAAGAAAATGGGATTGTGCATCAAAGTTCATGTGTTTATACACCTCAACAGAATGGTGTAGTGGAAAGGAAACATAGATCTATTCTCAATATAGCCAGATCTCTAAGATTTCAAGGTGTTGTGCCTCTAAGGTTTTGGGGAGAATGTGTTGATACTGCAGTCTATCTACTGAACAGGCTACCCTCTTCCACTCTACACCATAAATCTCCATTTCAACTACTGTATTCACACCCTCCAAACCTTGATCATCTAAAAACCTTTGGTTGTCTTGCCTATGCATCAAACCCAAACATCACTGATAAGCTGTCTCCTAGAGCCATTTCTGCTGCCTTAATGGGATATTCCTCTACTCAAAAGGGATACAAACTTTATGATCTGCATGGTAGATTATTTTTTGTAAGTAGAAATGTTGTTTTCAGAGAAGACCTTTTTCCTTTTAAACATTTTAAACCTTCTACTCTACCCTTATTTCCAGTACTTGAAGCCATTTCTGACACTGAAACTCCTAGGATCAGTCCTAATACCTCCTCTACTATCACATCACTACAAGATGAACAGCCTCTGGAAACTCATTTCACTGAACCTCCCTCTATCAGTATGACTGAACCATCTCCCAATAGTATAGCACCCTTTCTTATCAATGACATTCCAACAGAACTTCCCACCAATTTACCTCCTTCTACTGCACCTTCCTCTCAGCTTCAACAGCTCAAAAAATCTACTAGAACTGTAAAACAACCTCTGTGGTTGCAGGATTTTATCACCACAAAGAAATCTAATTGTGCATATCCTCTCTCCTCCTATATTAGCTATGATCAACTAGCCTTACTATATAAGACATCCTTAAATTCTTACTCATCCATTGTAGAGCCTACCAGCTATAAGGAAGCAACTTCAGATGCAAAGTGGATTGAAGCCATGAAACTAGAGATTGCAGCACTAGAAGACAACAACACCTGGACCATTGTTGATCTTCCTAAAGGTAAAGCAGCAATTGGGTGCAAATGGGTCTTCAAGGCCAAGTATAGGTCCTCAGGAGAAGTGGAGAGATACAAGGCACGACTAGTAGCCAAGGGTTATAGTCAACAAGCTAGGTTGGACTACCTTTTCTCCAGTTGCCAAAATGGTTACTGTTCGATCAGTAATTGTTGTAGCAGCCTCAAAGCATTGGTTCATCTATCAAATGGATGTACACAATGCTTTCTTGCAAGGGGATCTTTTAGAGGAAGTTTATATGACTATTCCAGAAGGGTTTGCTAGACAGGGGGAGATCAATCAAGTCTGCAAACTCCAGAAATCATTGTATGGCCTAAAACAAGCACCAAGACAGTAGAACCTAAAACTCACTGAAGCTTTGCAGCAGCTTGGCTTTGTTCAGAGTCATTTTGACTATTCACTCTTCACACAATGTCAAGGAAGTGATATAGTTGTGATCCTTATATATGTTGATCATCTAATCATCACAGGAACCAACAATGATCTCCTGAAGAAGACTAGGTGTGATCTTCAGAAAAAGTTCAAAATGAAAGATCTAGGGGAATTGAAGTTTTTCTTAGGCATTGAATTTGCAAGGTCTAGCAAAGGCATACATATGTGCCAAAGGAAGTATTCGTTGGAGCTGATTTCTGAGCTTGGCCTGGGAGGTGCTAAAACTGCTGGAACTCCAATTGAATGCAATCAAAAGCTTACTTCAATAGAATTTGACAAAGCTT